ATTGGAGGAAGATTTGGTACGTCAGGTAAACGGAAGGAATGGAATATTCTGCAAGGAAAATGTAACTGGACTGGATGTTTGTTATTTTCCGTTCACATGTGAGTTTTATGGTTAAGTGTCATTCGACAGTTTATTTTTCTTTTAAATATATAATGAGATTAAATTACAAGCTGTAAAAAGTTTGTCTCAATAATGGTTTAAGAAAGAAGGTTGACCATTTCGAGGCATTCGTCTGACATTAGTAAATTGCCTTGGCATTTATCACAAGGCTGTCAACACGAGGATAAATAGACACTGATATTATTTATAGTAACAAATGCATTGCTACTTATTAATCGGTTTGTTATTCTACTGACCATTTGCTGATTGACTGACTACAGAATCATATCGAGTGGATGACAGTTAAGCAGAGACTCTGTCTCAGACAGTATTGACAATATATTGTTTCATTTTCTACTTCTAGAGGATCGTATACAGGACAGATCAGTTGAGTGAGATCTAGTAGTGTGGTGGCCAAAACAAAAATTGACAAGCAAAAAATATTTCAAATGCCAAAACCATGGAATTTTTTTTAATTTTTCTCTAAATTTTGACTTTTTTTATTGCAGCTGTAAAATATACAGCACACTTTTCATTGTACTTTCACAAAAAATGGCATATCGTTTGAATGATTGAAAGTGTACAGCAAAAAAAGTTGGACCCCCTTTCCCCATATCACTGACTTACAAAAAGTGATGATCAAGATGATTCGATAAATCATCATGATCATAATCAATAATGCTTACCTCATGATTCTTGCCAAATTTCACAAAGAATATAACTCTTTAAAATTATCATTGAATTTCTCACTTTGTGTCTTCAACATACATGTACATGGTCATAAGGGCGAAACGATTACACGTGTAAACGGTGACGTTTCGATTATATGCTCTAAACGTTTACAGTTTGAGTAAACGTTTACACGAAGGTCATTAACAATGTCTATCAGAAATAAAGTTTAACACAAACAAATTTTCATAATTTACAAAAGAAACACCGTCTTGGAGTATTGATTTGATAAGCAAAAATCTAAACCGGAAATTGAGTGAAAATATCTAAAACCCTATACGGGCTAACATGATTAATTCCGATTTCCAAGTTGCTAATAATAGCGATGTTTTACGACACTTGAAATATAAAACTTGATATATTTTGATTAAATAAATATAATACATTTTTCACAAGTCTTTGAAAAGTTTCAATACAGTCAGCAGGTCTAGTTTTACTTTTTTCGAGATTAAAAGATCCATCTTTACAATTATTTTTTCTAAGTCCGGTAGCCAAACAAACCAAGCAGTTGGGTGACGAGGTCGAAAGTGAATGAGTTAAATGCGCCTCAAATTCTTACGGTTAAATAACAATGACCAACAATAAATTTGTAATAACAAATCATACTTATATCAAAGTGAAAGAATTGATTATTAAATTCGAGTTTCATGAGTAAGTAGCCATAAAAATAAAACATGAAATATCTCCCGTTTAAACGGTACCGTTTCGTTTACTGCTATCCGTTTAAACGTTTACAAAATTCAGTAAACGTTTCACCCTTACATGGTCACACAATCTTGAAAAAAATTACTTTAATTATTTTTTTCCTGTTGAAATAAAAACATTTTTCCTCTTTTATAAAAAATCTAACTCTCATAATATTCTAAAATTAAATTAGTAGATTGCATTTCCATACTTGAAAAAAAAATTTCAAATAGGTGATAATACATTCAATGAAAAAATTAATACGTGACAAGTGTCCAAGCATGTATATTTACTGCAATTACATAGATGAGTTGATTCTGTTTAGATTGAGTGACAATGGGTGAGAACCGAGAGGTCCAGAAGGGAGTGTGGGAGGGGCGTATCCCTGTCGTCTTCAATCTCTCAGAGGACGACACAGAGAGTGAGCAGCCCGAGCCTGTCTACGTATGTTACAGATGTGTGCAATGTTCTCAATTGTTCTGATAATCTATCCAAGCCAAGGCTTAATTTATTGATACTGTAAACCAATTTCGTGTGCAAGAAATTTTTGCGAGGTTCGAGAGAGCCCTGTCATCACGAATATTTCTTGCTGCAAAACAGTCTTTTAAGTCTCTGTGTCTCTATAGAACAACAGATCCAAAATAGGCTTCATCACGAAAATTAATTGTCGTGAAATAAAGTCCTCGCAAATAAAAGTTGATTTACATTAATAAATAGTAGTTTGTAGTTATACATGTAGTGTCTGAATGATGAACAGAATCCAGTGCTGGAAACCTGTAATGTTATATTTTTTCATTAACAGCTGATGGTACCTAGGATAAGTTATTTCCCTTTGCACACAGAGAAGATAAACAAACATTTCTTAAAGTTTGTCGGCGAGGAACAGGCAGAAGAAATGTGGTTAGAGCACGACAATCAACCGCTTAAATGGTAACAGACAAATTTATCAGGCTTTTATTGTAGACATGGTTATATTGAAAATTTTTAAACCAGATGCAGTTAATATTTCTACTGTGAAATATTTATTATATTTTCTGGGAACTTTTTTTCTTAGAAAAATATTTTAAAACCACAGGCACTTGTTTTGGGAATAAATTTTAACCCATAGTATAATAATAACACAAGATATCTAACTCCAAATTACACGGAGTACCCCCTCCCTTAGAATCGCGCTCATTTACACTTTCAGAGAAAAGGCAGTGGCAAACTGTTTATACCTATGTCATCTACGATAATTTATCTACACAACCATATATGGCTTGCTTGTCTTTGTTTTCTTTAATCTCCGTAAACAGCGTCAAAACTCTATTTGCCAAGTGGAAAAGTTGAACTAAACCATAAAACGGTATGTGCTAATCTCGGGCAAAGAGAAAAATTAAAGAATGCGTGGGTTTAAAAATTCAATTCCAGATTTTAAATATTGCTTTGAATCAAATTCGAGGTCTAATTCTTTGTCCGAGACTAGAACATACCATTCTATGGTCGAGTTTGAACTTTCTCTTTCCACTCGGCGAGCAGAGTTTTGAAGCTGATTAAGGAGATAAAAGAAAATAAAAACAAGCATGTCAGATATGGTTATGAAGATAAATTATCGTAGAAGACATAGGGGTAAACAGTTTACCCATGCATTTCCTCTGAAAGTGTAAATGAGCGCGATTCTAAGAGAGGGGGATACTCGGTGTAAATCGGAGTTAGATACCTTGTGTTATTATTATACTATGGGTCAAAAATTTATTACAGAAACAAGTGCCTGTGTTTAAAACGTATGAAAAACAATATATTGCCTCTCATCCTTATCTTGTAGGCACTATCCTGTAGGATTGCTCTTTGACCTTTACGGTTCAGAGAACAGTCTCCCATGGAGCATTACAGTCCACTTCAAGGTAAATCACATGTATTTTGGAATGTTATAATTCAAGACTATAGATCACATGTAGGAAATCTTTTAGAAGTACCAGTTTTGCTTTATTAAAAAAAAAATCAGATTCACCTAAAAATTGAACTTTGTGATAACTTAATCTGCTATTAAAAGACTTCAATAGCAACACCTATTCAAACAGTGAAAGTTCTGGATTTTTGCTGCTTATAAAACTAAAACCCAATCAATATTCGTAACATCAGTCAATATCATATGTCTCTTTATGTAACATTGAACAAGGAGGAGTTGGGAGATATCAGTAAAGTTTCATCATACTAAGAATGCATGGGAAGCTCTTAAATCCTAAAGTTAATCCCGGCTGGAGATTGTTCCCAGTTTAGCTTGGACTTTCAGTAAGGTGTGGCATTCTCAACATTACATAATAAGCTTCTGAAATATACATGTAGCTTTACATCACTGTTGACATTTACATGGGATAGAAATTCGGAGAAATGCCAATTAGTGTATTGAATAACCATTCAACATTGTCTAGTCCTCCAAAGAGGTGGAGCTTAACATCCTGACTGTGTGTGTTAATAGGGAGATGCCTGCATCCAAATAAGTTGTCTCATCATTGTCAACAACAATTTAAAGTTCCTGCTATTATTAATTTCTTAACCAATGAGAATCTATTCGACATTTGACAGATGCTAGTTACGTAGCGTTGAGAATGCCATGCCTTACTGAAAGTCCAAGCTTACCTGGGAATGGTTCTATTTGTTATTTTACAGCTACATTATTGCAAGTTCAAAAACTTTGGGGCTGATTATTCCATAATTTTTCCCTTTGTCTCAGCAAGGAAAAGTACATTTTTACTATTATATAGCTGTATAAAATTATGAAACTTTTGGTTGTAGGACTTCCCAGAAGAGGAACTTTTACACTGTACCAGTAAGGATGCTGTAGAGTCACACTTTATGTCCAGCATTAAGGAGGCCGATTCACTCAAACATCGGGGACAGGTTATAAATAGCATGCAGAAACGGGACCACAAACAGCTCTGGGCAGGGCTACTACATGGTATGTGTGTCTAAACCATATAAGTGCATATCTTTAATTTTATAAAAGAAGTCACATACATGCACATTAAATAGGTTTAAACTTAATCAAGCTTTCCGTTATCCATTTGGGGCTCTATAATTTCAAACTGAGGAGCCTAAGCTAAACTTCTCAGCCCTCTGTCAACAAGATAGAATTTACTCTGATGGGAATTGTGGCAAAAATGACCAGATATTCTTTCTTTTTAAAAAGGTATACTTTCCTTTTGACAATGCTGTTAGGGTTTGATTATACCCCCTGCTTGAAAAGTGGGAGGGTATATAGTGATTGGGATGTCTGTCTGTTTGTTCATCCATATGTCTGTTACTCTTTAGGGTACCCATCTCTTATCCGCAACTCCTCTTATGCCACTGGATGAAATTTTAAATGAGACTAGGACAGATTCTTTGCTACATGGTGCCTGATTGTGACTTATGTTACGTTTGATTAAAACATCTTTTGGGTTTCCCTTAGCAAAACATTGACACTGTCATTTTTTCTGTAATTTTGAATGGTACCCATCTCTTATCTGCAACCCTTCCTACACCACTGAATAAAATTTGATATTACTTTTACAGATTCTTTATTACATAAAACCACTGTGCACCTCTTATTTTACTTTTTGATCTGACACTAAGTGATTTTGGGTCTCCCAGAGTAAAACATGGATTTTACCATTAAAATCATATTGGAGGCAGGGGATACCTTTTAGTGAGCTCAGTGCTCACTGTACCTCTAGTTTATAAGTGGTAAAACTCTTTTTTTTTCCATTTAAAAGTATTATATTTAGAATCTGGGAATTCCTGTAGAGTTAAAATTATCTGTAATCATGTATAGAGTAGGAGGATATAAATCAGATTTAGACATTTATTTTTATCTTCCTTCCTTATTCATGACTTTTTTTTTTTTATTTTTGCAGATAAATTTGACCAGTTTTGGTCTGTGAACAAGAAACTAATGGAGTCAAGTGGAGAAGACACATTTAAATACATTCCCTACAGACTATATATGGTAAAAAAAAATACAGATATACAGGTCATCTGTTACATATTGCTGCAAACTAATGTATCACTATTACAGATTTATAAAAAAAATCAGGATTTTCAAAAGATCAGTATTTTATGTTTTGATATGAGTCCTATACTGTAAACCAGCTATTATTTGTGACATCTTTAATTCTTTAGTTTATGAATCATCTAACTTTATTTTGCAATAAAAGCAGCATTCTACATATTAAATGCATTTTAATGATTGATTTGCGGCTAGAAATATTTGCGAGTAAAAGTAACCTGCGAAACTCGTGGATATTTCTTGCTTGCGAATACATGTTGGAATTAAAAAAAAAGAACCTGACAGGAAATACGGAGTAGATTATTGTGATATTAATAGATCTTATTTATTGTACAGGTAGACAGACATTATGTCACTAGTCTATTTCGTCCATTTACTGAGGAGGGACACCCACAAACCCTCAAAAATCTGCTGCTGGCAGCCGTGCCACAATTCTTCACTGAAGGTCAGACTCATTCTGTTGTTTATAAATAAGATTGATATATACGTGTAGAACATCAAAGTCTTGATTTTTAATTTATTCCAGGAAGATCTTGCACATGCACTTATTGTCCCAAAATGTAAAATATTTTTAACTCCATTCACCCTGATTATGGACATAAGAATTTGAATGATTACCAGAAACTACCTTTTTTCTTTATTCTTGCTCTCATGACACCCCATATCATGTTTGACATGGGGAGACTTTTCATTCGACAAGTTACTTACTACATGCTTGGTGAATGTCAGCAAAACATGGCCGCAATTGAAGGGATAAACTATATCTTGTTATAATTACATTGTTATCTTCATGTATAAAAAAACTTTATTTCCTTTTTAGATGAAGAATTCCAGAAACACATCAAAATTCATGGTACAGAGCCATCGCTAGAAACACCGATCCTGTGGCTGTCTGAACATTTCAGCTACCCGGACAATTTTCTACACATGTGTATATTAGAGAAATGAAGCTACTGTAATAAAAGTATAAAGAGCCTAAACAAATGAAATACCGGTATCTGGTACGATGTATGGAGTGGTGTTTTTAAACAAAGTCTACATGTGATATGCACAAGGACATTCAGCTGACTTTATACATGTATGCAGGCACACATTGATGAAACATTGAACAGGAAATAGAATACAGTCTCAAGATAATTTTAATAGTATGTATGGAAATATGTACCTGAAGCTTGTGCAATAAATTTCATCAGTGATCTGTGTATCTGTAGCTATTTCATTCATCCCTTGTTTCATGAAATCCATATAATTTTTGCTATTGGAAACCCAAAATATGTGTCATATCAAAAAGTAACATAACAGATCACAATGGCAATTTGTAATAAAGATTGTGTGAAAGTCCCATTAAATTTTACTTAGTGGTAAAAGAGGAGTTGCGGATAAGAGATGGGTACCCAAAAGCGTAACAGACGGACGGACATCTCAAATACTGTATAACATCTCGCTTTTCAAGCGGGGGGTATAATGATGCACCATTAAGGTAGGATTCTTCTCTGGTTTCTGACTAGATGAAACATTCAAAGTAAATTTGCTTATATGTTTTATATATTTAGGTGTAAGGGATTTAAAAGACCATATTTTTCTTTCCTCATCACAATTGTACAACTTTAAATAGAAATGGTAAACTGCGTTTGAAAACTAGCAGAGACTATATTTTTGGCGGAATGGTGGCGTATGAATATATCTTCTGTTCTGCCTCTCAAAATTACAAAAGAACAATGAATTTAGTTATAATTTATACACAGTCAAAGACTTGAAGAGATTTTCAAATGTAAGTTAAATTAATAATAAGGGACAAAACTTTCAAAATATGTCAAATAAATATGATTTTTCAAACAGACTAGAACTACGATAGCTTTTACACGCTTCCAATCAAAATACATAATTGAACCAAAAATCCATAAAAAGTATTTTTCTCTCTTAGTAAACGATCAAAACTTTTTGTTTTTGTATCGTTTTGTACATTTATAAGACTACTTTATTATATGTAAAAATAAGAAAAAGTTAAATATAGGAAGCATATGAAAATAACTAATTAATATATCCTAAAAAAAAAATCAGAAAAACAGAAAATACGGATTAGCCAATGTCCAGTTTAGCTAAATTATTTGTGTAAATTTAGTAACATCATGCTATAGACCCGATATAGTAACATATTTTTATACAAAAAGAACAATCTTTAAACATTTGAAATAGGAGTAGGCATCACATGATTGGCAACACTATTTTTCATTCTTAATGTCAAGGAAAAAGATAATGATCTTGACCTGACCTTGCCTCTAATATAAAACGGTCAAATTTAATTTCACTGATACCGTCACTTAGTGATATTGTCTTCTTGATTCTGTGAAAATTTCATTAATTTTTAAATACAAGAAATATGAGAAGAATCCTACCTTAAGTTTTAAAATCGCATTATGCAGACAGAATGACATTTTTATACCAACCGCTTGAAAAGTGGGAGGGTATATACTAGTGGTGATTGGGATGTTGGTACTATGTAACAAAGAATCTATGAAAGTTTCACTATACCTCCGCTTGAAAACCGGGAGGGTAATATAGTAATCGGTATGTCCGTCCGTCTGTCTGTTATGCTTTAGGGTACCCATTTCTTATCCGCAACTCCTCTCATACCACTGAATGAAATTTGAGGAAATTTTCACAGAATCTATATAACATATTGCCATTGTGCACCTCCTATTTACTTTTTGATACGACACATATTTTGGGTTTCCCAGAGCAAAATATGGACACTGCCATTATGTTCAAACGGGAGATGGGGGTATCATTTAGTGAGAGCATTGCTCACAGTACTTCTAGTTTAAAATTCATTCAGTGGTATAAGAAGAGTTGCAAATAAGGGATGGGTACCCCAAAGTGCAAAGAACGGACGGACGTACAGTAGTGCCATAGTGCACCTCCTATTTTACTTATTGATCCAACACATATTTGGGTTTCCCAGAACAAGATATGGACACTGCCATTTTATACCCCCTGCTTGAAAAGCCGGAAGGTATATGGTAATCGGTATGTCCGTCCGTCTGTCTGCACGTCCATCCTTCTGTCTGTTACGCTTTGGGATACCCATCTCTTATCCGCAACTCCTCTTATACCACTGAGTGAAATTTAATGAAACTTTCACAGAATCTTTATTACGTATTGCCATTGTGCACCTCTCTGTTTACTTTTTGATCCAATACACATTTTTGTTTTCCCACAGCAAAACATGTACACTTACATTATATTCATATGCAGATAGTAATCGGTATGTCCGTCCATAAATGAAAAAAAAAAAAGAACAAAATTGATGTATATAGCATGGGCATTTATATGATTAGGTATTAATTTTTTAACCCATGTTATACAAGAAAGAAGGGGTTTTAATTAAAACTAGAGGTACTGTGAGCGATGAGCTCACTAAATGATACCCCCCGCCTCCATATAGTTATAATGGCAAATTCCATGTTTTGCTGTGGCCGGAAAGTTTCATCAAATTTCATTCAGTGGTATGAGAGGAGTTGCGGATAAGAGATGAGTACCCCAAAGCGTAACAGACGGATGGACAGACGGACGGAATTAATGATTACTATATACCCTCCCGCTTTTCAATCGGGGGGTATAATAACTAGAGGTCCTGTGAGCGATGAGCTCACTAAATGATACCCCCGCCTCCATATAGTTATAATGGCAAAGTCCATGTTTTGCTGTGGCCGGAAAACCCAAAATATGTGTCGGATCAAAAAGTAAAAAGGAGGTGCACAATGGCAATATGTAATAAAGATTCTGTGAAAGTTTCATCAAATTTCATTCAGTGGTATGAGAGGAGTTGCGGATAAGAGATGGGTACCCCAAAGCGTAACAGACGGACGGACGGACGGAATTAACGATTACTATATACCCTCCCGCTTTTCAAGCGGGGGGTATGAAAAATAGTGATGTGGTATATATATATATGCGTCTTTTTATTAAACATGGTATTTCCACATGCGCATGAGGTGTGGATTGATAACCCTCATCCGAACTTAAATTTAAAAAAAAATCAATCAAGATCATACAGTTTCTCAAAAATATAAAAAATTCAAATTCCCCGTCAGTCACATCAATATGTCTTTCTATGCGTTGAAGCGTTTTACTTTTAGAGAATGACCTTGTACGGTATAGAATAAAGCTATTCTTAGGAATATTTGTATTTTTGAGAACTGATAAGCTAGTGTAATTACATTAGATTCCAAATCTTATAAAACTTTTTTTTTTTTTTTTTTTACATTTAACAATCCAGAAGAGAAGTCCCAATTAAAAATTCGGCAACTAAGTATTATATATTGAATTCCAAAAGTGAATTACCCCCCCCCCTCCTCCCTCCTGGTAAAAAAAAAGAAGAAAAACCGATAGCTCTTCTCACAATGTCAAGATTATTTGCGATGAACCACGTTACTATTTATAGAATAGCCGGAATCCCTATTTATATCGGCGGGAATTAAACACTAGGAGGTCGTCAGCAAGTAAGTAGATTGTATATATATATATATATATATATATATATATATATATATATATATATATATATATATATATATATATATATATATATATATATGCATGAAGTATTTTTATTCTATATAATTATATTTGATGAAATCATTTAAGTAATTCAGAGAAAAGTAGATAAATGTATTTATATAGTACGTTCACAGATGTGTTTTTGAATTTCTCTTAATGTCAACAATGAATCTTTAATTCTAATTAAATCAATATACTGGTGCATTTTTTCTGCAGGGATTAAAATTGTTGAACAAAAAGTGAAATGCATATACATATGTTTCCCTTTCCTTATAATACTGAAAGTTCGTCTTTTATTAAAAAATAAATTAAGTTTAAAATTATTTGAACAGAGTATATTGAGTTATAAATAGGTCCATTGTAAACATTATACCCTCAGGTGTTTCATTTTTACGTTACAAGGAAAAGTTGCACGGTTGACTGACATTTGAAACTTGTTTTCATATACTCATATGCTGGTAATGTAATGTAGTAATTAAATGTAGCTGAGTAATAGGAAAATATGTTTTTAAAAAACCCTGACTGGTCCCGGAATTCAAAACCAAATACTCGACAGACCTGTAAACATAATGAAACAAAAGCTTAATCAGAAAAAGGCTATCTGTGATTAAACATGTTTAATTAAGTAAAATCACTTAAATATGAATTAAATATAGTAACCAACGTAATCTTCAGTTAGATCTATAAATCCTTGAACTTAGACTAATTTTAGATGCCCCGACCCTATCCAATCAATAAAAATGGATTAGTTGTTCGTGACGGTACGTGTCTCGTGCATTGAGTGAGAGATAAAAATACATTCTATAAGAACAATAGGTTCTTAATTACACTCAATGCACATATTTCCCTCCTTTATTCAAAATTGTTCAAGAATTTCATCATGTTCATTCTTTGAAATGTAATTTGAGTTTGAAATATTTGTCATCGCTGACCAAAAGTTATGTAGCAGCATGAAAAACTGTAGCGTTGAGAGGTGTCAGCCTATATATCTAGATTGTTGGTTATATACGTCACTGTGCTTTTCATGATCAGTAAACATATACATTTACATAAGTAAATAAGGTTAACATAAGGAACAGTGATCAATCTAAATAAATCTATAAACATTACAATTGTCTTAAGAAGGCATAAAACCTATAGACACAGATCCCCGTAAACTCCCAGAGGTGGGATTAGGTGCCTAGGAGGATAAAGCATCCCCGTTGACCTGTCACACCCTTCATGAGTCCTGTGTATTTATCAGGTAGACGGAATTATAACAAATATAACTAACTATTGGGGAAGTTTCCAAAATACGATCCAAAGATAGGTTATATTATTCATGTATTTTCTAGCAATATCATTTTAACGATCAAAAAATTTACGAAATGCTGCAATAAACGATGTTGCTGATATCTTATGCATAATTTTATCAGCGAGTAACCTGCGTCAGTTTCAAAACTGAACAAATTCTGAGCAACCTCTGTAGTGGAGAATGTATACATTAATTGGGAGACAAAACACTTTATTATTAAGCTGAAGTCATCTCGTTTGCCATACAATTTAGTTACTAGTATTCATGTATTGGCCTTTACTGTACCGTCTACAGTCAGTATAACACATTTAAATATGGAGCATGTGTGACTCTATATACATGGTGTCTTTTATTTCAGGAGCCCGTTTCACAAAACTATCGTAAGATTTGTCCTAAGATAGATCTTACGATCATCTTAAGATCTGACTTATGACAATCGTAAGATTTGTCACTGCTGTTTCACAAAACTATCTTAAGTATAAGATATCTTAAGACAAGTTTTAAGACAAATTCCATTATTCAATATCACAGGGATTTTTTTTTTTTAAAGATATATTTTCGCGAAGTTTTTCTGTAATTTTCTTCGAAATGTTGAAATAATGTGTGTCTCATATAGTTTCTTTTGCATATATGCCCTGACAAAAAACAACATTTTATTGCATCATCATGTGGGAGGGTGTGAGAGTGTGTGTGTGTGTGTATGTTGGGAGGAGGTCATTAAAATAAATTTTGAATTAATTTCATTACAAAAAATTAATAAATAAAATTTGCTTAAATGATTCTTGCTCGGGAAATAGTAGTTTCTGAAAAATGCATGTGATTACTTTTAATTAAATCTACTGTTGTATCTGAAGCTTTGCAAATTATGAACGATTTTAACAATGAATAACAAAGTTAGTTCATAAAATCAATTCAATACAGGTGTCTTTGAAACGTTACAACTTACTGCAACAATATATCACTGCTAACAGACTAAGAAGAGAAACGAAAGAAAAAATTCCAATCAAAATTTTGCTGTTTCAATGCTATCCTAAAAAAGCATAAAGAAAGCATGTACATACAGCATCAAATATTACAGCATATTGAATTGTCATACACATTCCTGTGGTTTAAGAGGATACCTCAGAAACTGAACGACATGTATTTGATTTTTTATATAATTTTGTACGACCGAATAAAATGTTTACTTTGAAATTAAATCACCACAATTAGAGACATATAAAAACCATTTATATATTGTCTGCCACAAAGTAACGAAATAAACTAAAGTAAATTTTTCTTTTTTGGGGGGGGGGGTGCAATTCAGTTGGGAGAGGGTACAACCAAAAATAAATGTCTTGAAATGAATAAAGTGGGAAAATATAAAGCAGGTACATTTTAGCTTTTCTATCGTATAATTTTTTGGCTATTTTTTTTTGGGGGGGGTGGTGGTGGGGGGGTTGACATTGTTCTGACTGGCCTGATATAGTATATAAAGAATTGTTCAATCTCTAAAAGCCGTTTTCTTTAAAAATTCTTTGGTTTTTAGGCAAAATACATACTGTCACAAGTTTCACTTTCGACTTAAGACATGTATCTAGTTGTCTTAAGATTATGATAGATCTTAAGATTATCATAAGATATGACAGTTTTGTGAAACGGCTATGGTGCAATCTTACGATAATTTTCGGTCTTAAGACAGATCTTAGTCATAAGATAGTTTTGTGAAATGGGCCCCAGGTTCAGTGGGATATATTGATTCGACATAGGAATGAAACTAATTACTAGACAGTATTGTTAATTATAAAGATAAGTGATAAGTCTGAATATCGAATTGAAGGCCTTCTCTTGTATAAAGTTTTTAAATAAATTTTGTTTCATAGGAAAATAAAGCAAGTCGGCTTAAAAAGAAGTACAATTAATGCCCGTCTGAATTTCCACATTTTATTGAAAAACTGAAGGCTTCATAAAAGCTGTCATTGGGGAACTCCAGCATTCTATTTATAGCAGTTTGAAGTTCAGTGTACTTGTATATAAGAGAGGTTTTCAACGAAGTTATGTCGCTGATAACCAATCACAAGATGTGGATCCGGAGTTTTGTTTTCATTACGAGAGTTATCTACGATACAAAAAGTCTAGATTTGAATTTATCACGAGGAAATTTTTATAAAGAATAGAAAAGTCGTAAGTTTTGTTGTTATGAACTTCAGAAAAATGGGTAATTTTTAAGTTTTTGAAAGTTCTTTCGAGCTTTTTAGGATCATGATTAACACCATTCTTAGAATATGTTGTAACACAGTCAGTATGTCTGAAGTTTTTCTTTCACAACAGGTAATATTTTTGTAAGTAGTGAATGATATGGAGATGACGAACAGTAATCAAGATCAAAAGTCCATAAAACAATGCAAAATAGGAGCAGAGCAAACACAGACCTAAAAAACATTAGAGGTGGGATCAGGTGCCATGGAGAAGTGAGCATTCCCTGCTGACGGTCACGCTCGCCATGCGTATGCGCGTGGGTAAACAAAGGAAAAATCCGTCGTCAATTCAGTGTATAAATAATGGACTTACAATTAGTATGGAAAACGTCAGTCAGCAGTATTTAACTCAATGATAAATTGTATTTGCTGACAAGGTCAACGTATCGACTATAGAACTTACGAAACGATGACTTTAAACGAGACTGTTTAATTTTTATTTCATCAACTTTTTTGTCAATAATTTTACCTCGTTTTTGAAATTGTTCATACGTAGAGCATGCTCTTGCATAACGAATCAACTGAGATATATAAACTCCGTATAGGTCATAGGTCAGGGAAGTTGACGATAGAAAAGTTAAAGTCATCATGTTTATCATAGAGCTTGATTGTTAGATTATCGATAACGTCTTTTTGAGGAAAAATATCCATATATGAAACAGATTTTTCAAACTGGTATCTTTTATTTAAGCTCCCCAATCAAGATAAGGAATTGGTAGAGCATATGCTTTCTTTCAATACTAGTATTGCCCACTTAAGAGAGTCAGAAGAGATGGAAGTAAATTCTGCTGTACCTATATGTACCGTAGTAATATGAATTATTGGAAACTGTCAGTTTTCTTTTTTATTTGTGCATAAATATTGGTTTTTTTTCTTCTAGCAAAGACGAAAATAGAATGACATACATATCGGAAGGATGATTTAACGACTATAAATGGGAGTGGTTATCTACAATGAAATCCAAAGAAGTAAACCGCAGCGATACTGCATGTGGTCAAGTAAACCAAAACATGAAAATAAGTGCACTGGGTATCTCAAAGTTTACAAAATAGTTAAAATAATCAACGTACTGAGGGACTTCCGGTTTATGCCTAGTGAACAGAGACCTTCGACGTCAGAAGAGTCAGGATCGGTAGACAGTTCCTTGTATTGACTTATATACAGTGTTGCTTTGGTGCAGGCTTACATATACATACTTTTTAGCATATGATTTTCATCAGCAAAATTATAATAAAGATGATGCACAGTAACTGTAGTGAACCTGATTGCAGTTTATGGTATAGTCGTCACCAATCACAGTCTACGTCATATGACGAGTTTGGAAGTGGCGCGAATGTTCCCGATAACGCCACAAGAACAAACAGACATGTACCACAGAATTTACCTTCAGAAGCTCCAGGAGGACATACAGCAGACAAGGCTCTGAGACTAGCAAGAGAATACGGCATCAATACATCTAAACCAAAGTACCAGCAATACGCTGTAAAGGCCACACGCCTCAATACTTTCGAAAACTGGCCTGCTTTTTTCACTCAGAAGCCAGAAGAATTGGCAGATGCTGGGTTCTTTTACTCGGGTATGATTCTTATAACCAGGGAATTAACTCTTCACAGATATCATGTATTTAATGAATTGGTTTGTATAGAATCAATGTATACTATACGTCATCTCGGAATGTCAAATACATGTATATTGTTTGTATATATGTAAGTCTCTTTTCTTCCGAATTATTTCGCCACAGGTTCTGCCATGAAAATAAAAAAAGATTTAATTTCTTTTCGTTAAATCTCGGACAGTAACATTATAGATTTGGAAGCGAGTTTAACATTTCATTGCACAGAGCTTTGTCCCCAATTTGTTTGCTACAAATTAGCAGTAAACATGCAGTTCTTAATTCCTTATTTAATCAGAAAATCTTGTAGCCTACACGTTAAGAAAAAACTAAAACTAGAAAGTTTAACAACGCAGTATCATTGTACAGGAGACGAGCTTTTTTTTTTTTTAAATCATAGCTGTAGAAAAGTTAATAACCTGAAAGAACTTGTCTTTCCATCTATTTGTTTAATTAACTATGACGATAAATGCATTAAAATGCCCAAACATAAATCTTACACAGAGATTCATGGGGTTGGGGTGGGTACTGAACTTAAATTTATTGAAATTTAACAGTCATGATGCCTATAAAGCTACTTTTACTACATGCAATGAAAGTTGTGTTTTATATAATCATGTCCTAATATTTTGTAGGAAAGAGTGATGCTGTCTTCTGCTTCTTCTGTGGTCTGGGTTTACAGGAATGGGAGGAAGGGGACACGCCGTGGGGAGAGCATGCGCGGTGGTCTCCTGAATGTGTCTTTGTAATCAATGTCAAAGGTCATGACTTTATCGAATTAGAGAAGCTGCGGAACACGAACCCAGATGAGGTAAGTCTATTTATAATAATGAAAGGACTGTGAAATCTTTATAATAGTGTTTATATTTGAATGTACTATGTCCAAATAGTATTCAATGTTAAAAACATAGTACATGATGTATATATATTACCAGAAATAAGTGTTTGTATCAGTGGTAAAAACATAGTATGCGATGTATATAGTTATCAACAGAAGTAAATCTTCGTATCAATGTAAAAAAAAAAGTATATATAAGGGGTGTTCAGAAAGTACGTTCCATGATGAAATATTTTCAAAAATTTCAAACTAGTGCTTACCTAAAGAGGTGGAATTTTAAGCCTGACAAAATCACAAGAGTGTGCTTTAGATTTATAGCAATTTATTTCTATCAGGAAATTATAGAATTTTTCTTCATATGAAAACTTATATAACATCTTAAAAGATCCCGAATGATAGAAATGCTGTTCATTTTGAGTGTAAATAAAGAATAATTTACTTTTGTTTCTTCATAGCTTATCTTGCATCAGACAAGCTGATGAGCATATAGCATATAGGTATAAGAACGATAGATCACTTTTCAAAACAATAGGTTTGTCAATCTTTTAGCAGATTTGATTATTTTTGCCTAATATTTGAAAGGATGTTTTGACCTGTCTGCTTAATTTATGTAACAAATATGCGTCATTCCTAATTTTTCTGAACTGACATCATCTTTTTTAATACCTGTCCACTCCTAATTGATTCAACAAAAGACAGTTAAAAACCTTATCAGTACCAAGAATGGACTCTGTAAACATGAAATATCACAAAATGTAAATATCTTCTTATCGTATTTCTTTCGAAAAAAAAAAAGAAAAATGTGGAACGAACTTTCTTTACTACCTTTACGATGTATATTACCAGAAATGAATGTTCGTATCTGTATGTTATATCAGTTATTCTGAACATTGATAATAATATTAGTAATAATAATTTTATTATCAGTGATATAAGATACTTATATTCTCATTCATAGATAAAGTAGGAGTGATAATGTCTTACTTCAGTCAAATGACCATTGTTTCAATGGTTTCCTCTATAAAATTGAAACCGATGTTCTTAACTTTTTTGTAGTATCTTGCAAGAAGGGAGTTGTACTCCAAAGACGATCAATCTCAAGGTATTTAAAGAAACTTGTAAATAAAGTACATGTATGAAGTATTTTTATAACTAAGAGTATGCATACAGTTTTTTTTTTAAAAAAGGATGAAATGAATGAAATTTATAATTTTCTAAAATATTATTCAAGGAATAATTCGGAGAAGACATATTTGTAGATAATTATAACAAAACAATGTTATTTACGTAGCAATAAGCCATTATCACCTGGATTTTGATTTTTTGTCTCCCATTTGATTGGATACACAAGAACATCTATGTTCAGACAATTTCTAAAAGAAAGAAAGCTTTTGACAAACAAGTTGATGAAACAAGGATATCAACAATACTTTTTAAAGTCATCATTTCGGAAGTTCTATGGTCGATATAAGACCTTGTCAGCAAATACAATCTATCAATAAGTCGATTACTGACTATTGTTTTCATACTTATTGTAGACCATAATTTCCCACTTATTTTTCAATTTTTCCTTTTGGCCAATAATGAAAAAGAAAATGCATACGACAGGTGTTAGGACCGTGTGACTGGTCGAAAGGGGGTGCTTACTTTTCCACGGCACCAGATCCCACCTCTGACTTTTTAAAGACACGTGTCGCTCTCCTGATTTGTATTGTTTCAGTAGACCTTTGAATTGTTCAACTCTCCATATTTTATTCCCGTTGGCTTTTTCATTTTTTGTGTATTTATTGTTTAAATTTCCGATGTTTAAGGAAAGTCAAAAATTGATACTATGAATAGTCCAGCGATCCAGAGCTTGCTACAGAACGGGTACGATGAATCAGTAGTCAAACAAGCAGTTACGTTTTTTCAGAAGCAGAACAGAGGTTAGTCTTTAACCAAATATTAAACAAATTCAATTAATTTTCCCAATCTTTTTTTGCCATCATAATTTGACGTGTGCACATATTTTGTAGAGAAATCATTTTCAGCGAAGGAACTTTTAGAAATAATATTTGATATTGAAGACAACAATATTGTTTGTGAAGAATTAGAGAAGAAAGGTAAGTTAATTAATTTCCACAATTACAAACTCATCATATCACATGGATTCGCCTAATCCACCATTCCAGATGAGTTCAGAAAAAAATTCTAATTTTTATTCTTGAAAATTTCTATTTTTTATTCTGAAAATAACATATAGCATTAGATAAAATTGTAAAGTATTGTGCATTTCTTTTTCTTCTAGACGACCCAGTTGTTCAAACAGACAACCTTGTGATAAAAGAAAATGAAGAACTCCGGAAGTCGACATACTGTCGGAAGTGTTCGACTGGTTTTGCTTCGGTCGTCTTTCTTCCTTGTGGACATTTGTGTACATGCACTGACTGTGCACCATCTATTAAGCATTGCTTGTTGTGTGATCAGTTCATTAAGGGCACAGTTCGCACTTATCTGGCTTAGTATAATTATGAAACATTTGCTTGACATTTTTTATTTTGATAAAGAAATGGAGAACCTTCTGAAACAGGCGTTTACATACTGTTCACTTTAAAATTCTTATGTTTCTTTTAAAAAAAAAACTAATTTGCAAATAATTATACGGGGAAATGTAATGTAAATGACTATGATACTGTATTGCACTTAGTGTTGATGGTCTTTTACGAGGGGTGATCAAAAAGTTCGCGAACTATCTCTATATCTACAAAACCACAATTAATTCAGATTAGAATAAAATTTGGTACACACATAGCAAGATATATAAATAACGTATGCTGTATAAAGTTGCTCCTTGTTTCTTTTATGGAAGTAATTCAATTAGTTCGCTAAGTTTTTGATCATCCCTTGTATACATTGTACTACAGATAGTGTTTACAGACGGTCATACATATACATTTGTATAAGATGGAGTTTTATTGATGAACAAGGCAATGCATTATAGACAAAAGGTCAACATATACTGCAATTCCGATTTATTTCAGGTAGCAGTATCTAATCACTCTCAAATAGCATGATATGTACTAGTATTTTGTTTTAACTCCTTACAGCAGATTTATATCTAACTTAAACAAAATACTCACAAATTGTCCAAATTTGTCTACTCCATAATTATTATATTCAGATCCACATTTACGAATATTAATTTCTGAAGAAAACAGGGAAAAGAGAAATCCCTTTTAAATGATTATGTCATTTGTATTGATCTTATTCATTAGAACTTGTATAAGTTATAATTAGTACAGTTATATTAATTTTTGTTTTGTATAATGATGGTTTTATCCTAATGAGGAAACTTAGGAGGACAGAAATGCTGTACATGTTAGAATATTTTTTTTAATAATGATAATTAAAGTTTTCTGATTCCGGATTCAGATAAATCTTACATTTAATATTAAGATATACCACATATTTTGTTCTAAAAACTATAAGAGGGTGTCTTGCGATATGATTTCAAAGTTCTTTTTTTGTATCAATTAAATATGTTATATTTACTTGTTAACTAGTATTAGAGTTTTAGCTGTATAAATTATAACTAATTAGGCATTTAAGGAATACATATCACAGATATAGAAAAGTTATTGTCTTGGATGAAGGTACGTGGGAAGATAAGTAAATCCTTTTTATCGTATTGTGTATATTTTATTGCTTTTATAATTATACGTTTATGCGGTGCATATTTTCATTTCAATAAATGATACATTGTTTTTGTATGGATTTTTTTTCTACGAGTTATTTATTTCCATTATTCACCATTTTGGAGGTCATGTCGTTCAATAATTAAATAACCTGTTAGATATTTGAAGAAAAAATGTGAAAAAAATATCTAAATTTAGGCATCGATTATTTAAAAAAAACTTTTTTATTTAACTATATAAATTTTGAGCAGAGCTAACACGTACATCTGACAACAGAGATGGGATCAATAGTCATGAGTGAGTAAGCATCCCATCCGGCCAGTCACACCAACAGTGTGCTCCTTATCATGATCAGGTACACTGAAAAATCTGTACACTATTCAGTGTAAAACTAGGACATAAAAATACTGTATGAAAGACGCAGGTCAACATTTGACTTAAAGCATTTTGCTAAAAAGGTTATTGTACGTATACGTCAACCATAAAAAACAATCAAGGCATGAATAAGGAAAGTAGAAGTCATCACATTTATCATAAAGATATCAGTTTATCATTAATATATTTTTCTAGCAAAGCATTCAAATAAGAAACATATATCAGATTCCGTAGGTCCTTTATTTCGAGATCAATGGGATATATAATATTTGAAACTTGGGATTATCAATTGATAAAAACGTTCTTTTTAATGTCAATTTGAAGGTCACAACAATACTACTTGATTTTTGTGGAAGTTTTTGAATACATTCTGCTTAATATAAATAAGAAAGGGTCTGCAAAGAATGTGGCTCAAATTATGCTCAAGGAGTTCTAATGGAAGACATGGTCTCCGATATTTTCAAAGAGAAACACGAGCACCCTATCAATATCAATATGAAAATTTTGATATTAGAAAGAGAATTATGAGTGAAAGAGTAAAACAGACTCTAACGAACGTATATATTTCTTCGAATAAAAAATATAAAAAAAACTTGTTTCAAACCTTAATGGTAACCGTATGACTACACACTTGTATATAATTCTACATTTTGCAATGTTAATTTAAAGTGCTATTTAGTTGAAGGAATTGTTGAAACATAAACCCGCAAAATATAATCTGATGCAAGAAAAAGAACTTTATTTGGGAGAAAACATTGATATGATACTGATGAAAAAGAAACATCTCAAACATCTGGTACGAATGTTCTGGTTTTCCACATAGCTTACTCAGAACCATCAGTTCTACAGTACGGGAAGGCTGTGGCGGTTACACCGTAGTATGTTCCCTTGGCGCCTTTAGTGGTGTCGTACCCCCAGAACACACACTTGGTACGGCTACATTTGGATGCCAGAAATTTCTTAAAGGTACATTCACAGGCTCTTAACTTACAGTTGTCTCTAATAGATTCTACGTAGTACGCCACTGCTTTTAGATGTCCACAGGCTTTTCCAAAAGTCGCCTCTGAAGAGATAAAAAAGTAGATTAAATTAAAGATCCCCAAAGGAATGTTTTAATGTAAGCATAGTTAGTCCATTATAAAAACCAGTATGTAAATGAGATCTTACTTTTAAGCTTATGGATCCTGACGGGTTTTTTCGGGTTATAGGTGCACCCTGGTTGCCGCCTTCCGCCATTGACGTAGATGTCCAGATGGCCACATGGTCTTCTCATTCCATAACCTTCAAAAATGAAGTCTCTGTAAGCAACTACCAGTTGAAGGAAATACTGTAGTCACTCCTCTATTAATCTGTCTGTTCTAAATGGTTTTCAGACACTTTCTACAAATATACTTATTGAGTGAAACAAAAGTTCATTAAACAATACAAAATAGGAACAGAGCCAACACAGACCCCCAAATCATCGGAGATGGGATCAGGTGCCATGGAGAAGTATGCATCTCCTGCCGACCGGTCATACCCGTCGTGTGCTCCTTGTCATGATCGGTAAATGACAGAAAAACCCGTAGTCACTGCAGTGATTTTAAAACAATAAAACTTTCATTTCGTGTCTAAAGGAATTATGGTTCATGCAGATAATAATTCATTGATAAGGTACTTGCATTTTCCAGATTTGATATAAGTAAATTAAAGTTGGAGGGTAACATATCAAATGTGCCCTTTTGTGACAAAATGACGACCCTTGCGAGATTATATCTTTTATAATGATAGAAGTTCAACAATTTATTAAATAGGTTTAGCATTCCAAGATATTTATTGGTTCCATCACATGATATAAAACAGAATTCAAATACTACATAGAAGAGAAGAAATCTGCTTTCGCCCTCATTTTAACATTGTAATATTATGGACAACGTTTTATCTATTAAAAATATCGATTTTCATTACTACGTTTATTCGATATATATCTGAACTCCCACACACAAAAAAGTTTAAATAGTAATTTAACAACAAATTTTATGAAAAAGATGATGACTTCAATTTTTCCAACGTCAAATCTCCTTATAACGGTAGCAATATACATTCATCACTTACACATGAATTTTATGGAAGATAAAATGAGACAATACCAGGTAACAAAATCATATCAAAGTCCGTCACCATATTATAAATACTCACCAAAAGGTCTAGCGTCTGTATGGATGATGTCCACAAACTGGGCACTTCCTTTGTTAATTGCAAACGTAGAGTTTTCAAACAAGGGACTTGCTGGGTCCAATCCTATATAGTAAAAATTCAAATAATTATTGATATGGACTTTTTAAAAATATACTTTGGTTGATTGATTTTTGTTGAGCTTGTGAAAACTATATATTTTTTTCATTAAATATGTAATGTTTGAAATAAAGTGTGTCTAAAAAATAAAATTGACATTTAAGATACAAAAAAAAAATAAAAAATGCGGACACTCCTTATTCCTACCAGTGATGCGCCCTATTTTTCCTTTGGAGAGCTTCCCTGCCTCCGCAGCCGCATGTGCTCCTAACCCCTGACCTATGATGTGGACCTTGTCCCAGGGAATCTTGTTCTTGTTCAGAATTTGGAACACATATGCCCCAACAGTCTGTACATTAGAGGCAGACTGAGCATAGTTAATGCTGGCTCCTCTTCCCCAGTCAACCAGAAGGACATTGTGCTGTCTCTGTTATATTTGTTTAATAATGAATTTTAAAATCAAAAAGAAATGCAAGAAATATGTCTTTATTAAATATTATCTATTATATCCATATACTAAATAGATCAAAATTTCATTGCTTGTTCGTGAATATTATCTTAGATTATATTTTGCAAATCTCTGTTTCTTTCTTTTTAATATACTTAGAACAATATCACATCAAAATGAAATATGTGTACAGTAATGTATAACCTAATCTCTTTGGAGAATACGATTCAAGAAGCTGAACAATGTATTTTTTAAATTAACTAATTTAAAATAAAAATATATTCCAATACATCTTTACAGACATTTATTTCTTAAACACAATTTAAATAATGATTTATACTTTTTTCAATGAGGATGCTAGATCCTTTATCTCCGGAAGTGACGAATCTACCAAGTATCCGTGAATGATGACGTCAGTCTCTTTGCTTTTATCAAAACTCTTTGGAAGGGCCGTGTTTTCTGATATTTTATTCACTCCCTCCAACCAAAAGCTTTTAAGCCTCATATCCTTAGGGCTCTCCGGGACTTTGTTGAACCGTTTGCTCATACACATCTTAATGGCCAAGACCATGAAGCAAAGGTCTGTCGCTCCACGTACTGCTGCATTATGTAGTGCAAAAATACTGTATATCAATGCTGGTTCAAGAAATGAATCGTTATTTATAAGGTAAAGAAACTAAAAGGGCCTTGGACTTGCTTAAAATAAAATGTACAATTATCAACTTGAACATGAGTCACTGGATGCAAAAAAAAGTTTCCGCATAGCTGAAAGACTTCTGAAACTCTGCGGAAACTTAAGCTTACTATATAGTTTCCGCAAAGTTTCGGTGCTGAAACTTCAAGTTTCATCAAGTTTCCGCTGTGCACGAATCCAAATGGTTTCTGCAACTGAAACTTGATGAAACTTGAAGTATATGTAAGGTTTCAGCATTCGTAAACATATGATATAAAAACAATATACTATGTACTATATACTATAGTTTGATAGAGATTTGCTTACTAGTATTATGTGATACTATTGGACTTTTACGAGAAGCGCTGACTTCTACAGTTGACGGTTTACTTGGACATTTAAACTTGTATCATGTACGAAAGTACAGAATTGATATTGCAGATGAAAACCTTTAAAGTGGTCATAGGTATGGTGTTCGGGGCACTAACATGTGAAGAGCGGGAGTTGAGGGAAGGGAAGTTATCGTTTTCTTTAAGGACAATTTATTTGTGCATTGAAATAACCCGTTATTTTCGTTTAATTAAATGTTGAGATAAATATTTATATCATAAAAGAGCTACCGTACATAGCTCTAGTGTTAAAGTAATCGTCAACTCTAAAAGTCAGCGCTCCTCGTAAAAGTCCAATTGTACATTCTCAATACCTTCATTGGTGTTAATGTCCAACGATGCACTGTTTGGCATTTCTCCTGAAATATGAATACGTTTACATCATATTTTACTCTGTAGAACCATTCTTGTTGTAAAACCAACTCACCAGTATTGTCAGTCCATGCTCGGTGATGTGTGCAGAATTTGGCAAATTAAGGACAGACGAAACATTCCCTAATAATAGATAAATTTTTCAAAGATTTTGTCATTGAAGTATTGCTACTTAAACATGTTTACTTACAAAAAATTGAGGTACATTATCAGGCATTTCTGCAAGATACCAGGGGTAGTTTTCCTTATATAATCCTTTTGGGAAGAAAAATAATTTTCCAAGTTCAAATGTTTAAGTGTTTGGATTTTGTAAAAACGTTTAGAAACTGGTTTAGAAATCAGAATGTTATTACGATTTTGAATATTTTTTCATACATTACGAAGAAGGATATGGAGATAACGAACAGTATTCAATATCAAAATCCATAAAACTATACAAAATAGGAGCAGAGCAAACATGGACCTCCGAAACATCAGAGGTGGGATCAAGTGCCATGGAGGAGTCAGCATCATCTGCTGACCGATCATACCCGCCGTGTGCTCCTTGTCATGATCAAGAAAATAATATATACAAAACAGATATTGAGAAACGCCTCCTTGTAACATATAGCGTTTTTGTAAACAGAGCACGGGCTCTTAATCTACTGCTGTTGTAAATGTTAACGTTTCACCGAGTATGTTTAATTTGTAAAAGTCAGCACACATCATCACTGGGCACGGCTGAGCACGACTGACGATATTAGTTACTGAATTTTGAATTTTGAATTTTCTAGATATTTCATTAAAACACGACAAAATTTCTAATTTCATGAATCTTAAGAATAAAGTTTGCTGTTTGAAAGTTCAAGGATGTATCAATCGAACACTTCCCAAAATTTGTAGTTTGAATAATTTCCAGTTTAAATAAGTTTTCATTTTAATTTCATTTGGAATGCTATAATAGCAACATATAAATAATGATACTCTATCGAATCTTTGAGAAAATACCCTGGTATTAACTTCAAATCCGTGTCCAAGCGCCTTTATGTAGAGATAATGCTTTCTCTACTTTAACTTTGATAGGATAAAATAGCTTACGATCTTGCAATTGTAAAGAAGAAGGATTGATATTAAAACAAAAATCTGCTACCGTTGCCTTCAAATCGACGTATAAATGTAAATGCCAAATGCCAATATTTAACAAATTCACATTTCCAGTTTTCTCTATTTACTTCTTTGATATTTAACTCAGTATAATGATAAGTAAAGAAATTGATGAAGTCTGAAAAATCCATTTCATAATTTCCCCCAAAGAAAGACTTTGAAGAAAAAAAACCTTTTTGATGATTACTGTGATTTCAACTTGGTGTATCAAACATTTATTTTTAAGTAGATATAACTTATTATCATTTTCATATCTTATTTGACAACAGTTGATTTGATACAAAAGAACATTTTCATAGTAATGCGATCTGTCTCAAAACCGGAGCAAGACACAAAGGGTTTTAAGGGTGTCAACGATTATGTTTTAAGTATACATACTACAAATTCTGCGGTTGAAACATAATACTTTAGCAAATACAATCTCTCTGTATGCTGAATAGTTACTAATGTTTTAAAAACAAAAACCTAAACTTAACATTATACTGATTTGTATTCGGATTCTAAATAAAAAGAAAAAAGAGTGAATTCAATGTAATGCATACAACACTGATGTTCCAGTAGAACAGTAGTATGTAATGAAAATTAGTAGAAAGATATAATAGAAACTGAATAAAAGGTCAACGGTTTAAAATGTCACCATACTTTTGAAGTGGCCCATCACTTTCATGCATCATATATCAGTCAGTTTTATGTAAACTTCATTTAAACATAAATATGTTCAATACAGTAATAAGTGGTATTGTGTTTTCCCTTTAGTTTCACTTACGCTTTCCGACTCCAGCTTGATTGCAAACTAAAAAAGAAGGTTGTAACAAAATAATTCATTATATTCTGATGGTGTGATTACGTTAATTACGAATGAAACTCTTACACATTAAAGCATTTTATTAATATAAATATACGACAGCATATCGTAATAACTAGCTAAATACAGATGAGAAATAATTCCAATGCATTTATTAGAATATAAATATTAAATATCTTACTCCTCCCTGAACAGTGATAGCTATGATGTCCACCCATTTTGTCCTCAGCCCGGTGTCTCAGCTTTCCCTTTTTATACTTTTTAATCATTTTTTGTTAAAACGCATATGCTATACAGTAAATATTTAAAAAGGAAGAAAGTAAATGAAAAATGACAATTTTTATATTTGAATAGTTTTTGATGTCTTGTATATGACAGCTATGACTAAGAAATTTTGTGCTATATCATCAATATTGATAAAAAATGTGTAACATTTCACCAAAAACAGGTGGCTTCTCTATACGGACGAAAAATAGAAATTGAATTTCGACTGGAACGTTAAATGAAATACAATCCATCTAACTTTTAAGCTAATAAAAAGATGAAAGCTAAAAATTTTTACTTTGGAGTTCAAATCTTTGTACTTTAAAATGAGAACAGTGCAAGGAGATAGTTAATTTTATCCTGAAAATCACTGTTATCACAAAAGGAACAAATTAGTTCATCTTTTGGCATTTATTTATCGTCTGATTTCAATTGTAAGCTTGTGAGCTGATATCTGTAACCTTATCATAACTAATTATTGTTGATCGCTTGTTAAATTATTTATTGATAGGGTTCACAACAAAAGTTATTTGTACACGGATTTTTAATTACTTTTAAATTATGTATAGTATGTCCATGATTGACTGATTGTATATTGCTGTTTTTCTGTTCAATATGTTTTTATTCATATAATTAAAGTGTCACCATATTAAGGTTAAGGGAAAGAATCCCGGATTCTTTAGCTCTTCATAAGAACTCAAGGCATGGAGCATTGAGGGTTTCTTTAACCCTTACATGGGGCCTCGTACTTCTTGGTCTTATCCGAAGGACCCGCATCTTTCACATCAAAATAAAGAGAACTTGGTGAAGCAAGTTTGTAACATTGTTTTATAAACTTGGGCCAGCAGTTGCCTTCCTGAACCAATGGAGCAAACGTTAACGTACTCTCGACTTTTGTAATGGTTCAAAATATCGATTAGATCAAATTTAGAAAATGTCCTGACGCATTGCAAAATAAGTTTGGTGTCGATGGTCTCTTTTTTTATTTATAATTTTGTTTTGGAACACAACTTTGCCACTCTTAAAGGTGCATAGACACAGATTTGAAGTTAATTTTTTTCTTAAAATTTTCTGTATAATATTACGACTCATATATATTGCAATAGCATTTCACAAAAAAAATATTATAAAAATCTTATATCATCTAGAAGTTATTGAAACTTCGAATTTCTGGTCGGATTTGATTAAACGTCATTGCACTTTTACAAATTATAATTTTATTCTTAATACTGAAGAAAAGTGGCAATTTTGTTGTATATTAAAGGGCTGGGGTTGTGGCCATTTTCAGACTATATTGATCTGCTTTAGAAGAAGAGCTTCCTATTAAGATATACAAAAATGATCAAATTTCAAATCTAAAATATATAAAATATAAATTATTTGTTGAACCCCAGCCTCCTTAATGAAAAATATCATAACTTTGACCTAGACAATTCAGAGTAAAAATATTTGAAAAGAAAACGCGCTCACATTATATTGTCAGTACATGCTCAGTGGTGTCTGCAGGATTTAGCAATTTTTCTTTGCCAAATGATAGTTGACAGCTTAATTAAGATGTCATATCTGAAAAATTAAGTTATAACTGATGGTTTATTTGTTGAACCCCAGCCTCCTTAATGAAAAATATTATAACTTTAACCTAGAAAATTCAGAGTAAAAATATTTGAAAAGAAAACGCGCTCACATTATATTGTCAGTACGTGTTCAGTGGTGTCTGCAGGCTTTAACAATTTAACACGCCCGGTGAATCGTAAACATTAACAATAACAGAACTCGTGCACTGATTACAAAAACAGTTTTTGTTTCACGGGTGTATTCAATTTGTTAAGTCGCCCGCGTGGCACAGTGGTTATAGAGTCGCGAAGTAAGGAGTTGATGCTTACGTCGCACTGTGGGACGTGGAGACAGGTCCTTCGGATGAGACCATATAAACCGAGATTCCGTGTTGCAGTAGGTGCTGCCACGAAAAAGATCCCTTGCTGCTTAATGGCCCTGAGTGCCGAGTATAGGACAAAATTTGTAGCTCTCCACCGACAAGTGGTGGTGTCTCTAATGAGTGAAAAATTCTCCAGAGGGACTTAACAATATACAATCAATCAATCAATTAATTAATTAATTTAATAATCAATCAATCAATTTGTTAAACACTATACAGAACACTGAGCACGGACTGACGATACTAGTTAGGGTGTTTTATTTTCGAACATTTTTACTCTGAATTTTCTATATTATAGTATTAATATTTTTCATTAATACACAATAAAATTGCCACTTTTCTAAAGTATTAAGAACAAAATTTAATTTGTGAGAGAGCAAGGGTGTGTTAATCAAACCCGTCCAAAAATTCGAAGTTTCAATAATTTCGAGATTAAAAAAGATATTCATTATATTTTCAAGTGAAATGCTATTGCAATAAATAAGGCGTAATATTATGCAGAAAATTTGAGAAAATATTAACTTCAAAACTGTGTCTAAGCACCTTTAAATCAAACCATCTTCAAACTATGAATCTTCTTTTTTTTTAGAATCCATTTAAGGATTACCTTTTGCTTATACTTGAAAAGTATTTAATTATTTTACGAGGGACGACGTCATTAAAATCTGTGCGTGAATGGCTGGTCCAACCCCGATGAAAATTCATAAAAAAATGATAATCATTCAAAAGTCTAATTTTGTTTTCCATTCTTTAAAAGCACAATCCTTGTCTGAGAAAAGACAAAATAAGAAAATTACAAATTTTATTTTTTTCAGTAACTATCCAGTAACTATTCCTGCTTTGGGTT